CCCCCGAGGAGATCAGGAGCTACATGGAGAGGATCCGGGGGAGTTCCTGACCCCAACCCCCTCACCCCACCACCAAGAGAGAGGGGATAAACCCCCCCCCCCTTCCTCCCCCAGCCCCGGACAAACCAGTAAGGGACCAACCTCCTTCCCGTGTCACCCTGGGTGTGGGGGGACACACAGCAGTGCCCCCCTTCTTGTCTCCTGTGCCACTCTTGGGGACCACTGCCCGTCCTTCTGGGTGGCCTCAGCTCTGCCACCCGAGGCCTCAGATCCCAGATACCTGCAGAGTGGGGGTCACTACCCAGTTCAGAGCATCCCCCCCCCCACCTTGGTGGCCTTGGGGACGAAGGTGACCTTACTGCTTTGGGTCTCATTGCTCCATTGTGTCCATAGTGATGATGATGATGATGAGTCCTGTGGTCTGATCTTGGGGAGGGTCCTGTGCCCCCTCCCTCCAACCCCTCCCTCTCTTTACCCTGGGGAGGGGACAGGGGAGGGGGCCACACACCTTGTCCCTATGTGTGTCCCCCCCCACACACACACCTTCCACTTCACCCCGTTTTTGTACGGTGACGTTTCCTCCCCGCGATGCTGCCACCAGGGGCTGGGCAGATCCAGGGGAGATTTTTAATTCTGACGTTGTTACAAAACCAGAAGAAGAAATAAAAGAGTCTTTCCAGAAAAGTCACATCCTGCTCTGAGGGGAGGGGAGGGGGTGTCACATCCTCGGCACCTTCCTCCAGGGATTGGGGGGAGGATGGAGGGGTGGCACTGGGGTGGGGGACACACAGAGCAGGGAGGTGCTGCCAGGCACGGCTGGGTTCCCCTGGGGACAGGGATGTGCCCTTGAACTTGGTTCCATGTGGGGACAAACGTGGGTGACGTTGGTTCCAGCTGGGGATGAAGGTGGGGAGCTGGGCAGGGGTTTGGGCTCGGTGGCCACTCCTGGCACTGGCCCAGCCAAGGTGACCTTGGTCCTGCGGTGGGTAAGGGGCTGTCACCTTCCTCCTTCTCAGCCCATCCAGGGTGACCTTGGGACAAAGGATTTCCTCCCTGCCTGTCCTGCCGTGGCTGCCCCCTT